TTTATATTATATACAACTATACATATTGCTTTAAAAGACTAATAATTATCCCTATATTATATGTTGAATTTGACATACTTAGGTTTAACAATAAAGGATTCCACAACTTTAAAAAGAAGCCACAAAGGTATGTTTGTGAATCAGTAGGAATTTCATAATGTGTTTATGACTTTTTTAGTAGCGTTTTTATATGATGGAAGTGTTGGTGATTTTATATCACTAATATTATTTAAGTGTAATGGGGTTAATTTGTTGATCAATGTCACTTTGACAATTATCGAACAAATTAGTATGGTGCGAAGTGCACATTTGTTTGATTTTGTCATTGTTGAAAGTATACTGCTATTTAGAGGCGAAGCCACTGAACTGACGGGGGTCTGGGGGCAGCGCCCCTGGGAGCGGGGTCCAAGGGGCGGTAGCCCCTGGCGGGGTCCAAGGGGCAGAGCCCCTGGCTGGGGTATTTTGACAGGAAGTTATTTATATATAACTACCATATGGCAGAAAGTTATTTATATATAAAAAATGTCTCAGAAATTCGTATTTTGATAAAAACACCCGGTTTTGTGATCCATTTATAGACCCGGTTTTATGGTAGTTTTTGACAGGTAATATGACCGTTTTTGGACAGTAAGATGCTGTTTGATTTTCTGAAGCAAAAATTCAAGAAGTCTGCGGACCACCTCTGCAACCCTCTGCAGTAGAAGAGGTGGACCGAACGGCTGCAGACTGTAATAAGAAGCGTGTTTGTTTTTTTAACATCTGCATACTGCTGCAGATATTAAGAAATTAAAATAAACTAATTTTATAAACCGAAAATAGCTTTTTAATACGTAAAATTTAATAATGTATAACATTTCGGTAAAAGTTAATGATATTTCAGTAAAAAATAACGCTATTTCAATAAAAAAAAATAAAGATATTTTAGTAAAAAATAATGGTATTTCATCAAAAAAAGGATTATTATTATTGAATATAAAAAAACGAAAAATAAATTCAACAAGATTAAATGTAAAAAAAAATGAAATAAAATGTTAGATAAAATTTTAGCAACATATAATCAAATTTTCAACAATAAAAAGAGAAGAAGAAGAGGTTGGAAGAGGCAGCACAAGTGTTGCGCCAAACAGAGCACGCGCAGAGGTTTTTGACTTAAAAGACTTGCTGGGGTGCAAAGTTCTTCATTCATGACTTTGTAAATGTTTGACTTTTGTAAAACCCACTTGCATGTGGTGCTTTAGCCTTTAGACCCATTTGGTAGTTAGAGTGAGAGAGAACATGTAAACATCTCTATAAATAGTGG